GAAAAAAATAACATTAGGAAAGATGTTTGTACTGGAGATTTTTCAAGCTGCCCTAATAATTAACGAGCTTTAAACCTTAATATACTATTGTCCTAATTAACTCCTCAGTAATGGGTTCTAATACAGACATCATTTTTGAAAGGATAGTCTTTTATTTCTTGAACAAGGTGTTCAAAACGTATCACATTATTTTCCCTACAAGGTTTCCTCTTCAGCTCAAGAGAAAACATAGCTATTAAGTACACAGACTTTGAAGTTATCTAAACACTGGCTCAAATTTTAGCTTTTCCACTTAAGACCTAGTGACCATCGGTAAGTTATTTAAACTCCATCAGCCTGTTTCCTCAACTGTAAAACTGAGATAATAATGTGAATGCTTCACTCTTGGTACACACTAAGGACTCAATAAATATGCTTAATACAATGACTAATAATTCATATTTGAATTAAGTATATTTCAGACAAGGCCATTCTACTGTTGATTGTTCTTATATTTTCTACCAGAAGAAAATTTTAATATTGTATACTTTTCATTCACCTCTTGTTACCCCAGAAAATGAAATAAACCTTCGTGACCTTTAACATGGATCTCCAGACACTAATAATTATTGGGTGACTGCATTTAATTAAAAACAACAACAACAACAGGTGATGGATATTGTAATCAGAGACTGCATTCTGATGTCTAACTAGCTCAGTGACATTAGCAAGATACTTATCCTCTTCAAGCCCCAGTTTTCTCAGGTGTAAAATGAAGTGATACCACTAAGCTTGTTGGGTTTTTCTAAGAACTAAATGCTATAATGTAGGTAAGATATTTGGTATCAAGCTTGACACTTCCTTCTTTTTCTTAAGAATTGGCATTTTAATATTAACTGTTGAAATCATAGTCAGTAAGTATGCTACTCTGACAGACTAGACCAGCATTTCAAAAGGAGGCCGCATTTTAAAGTCTCTTCTCTGAAGGTATTCCCTGATGCTCTGATACTGCTTTCAGAGTTAAGTGCACAAGGATTCTATAGCAAATGGGCACGTTATCTTCCCTTATGTGGATGACATGCCATATCACTATACATTAAATAAAGTTCGCACCAGGGGTTAACTAGTAGTGGAACCTCATTACTGACAAAGAAATGACTTAAGTTAACAAAAGAAATGAGTTATGCTCAAGTAAAATCATTGCACTTGGAAACATTCTTCACAATTAGGCTCATTATGGTTTTTGGAAACTTGGTTTGCTCAGTCACCCAGGGGTACATGTCATAGGATCGGAAAATGCTGTTCTGACCATGTAGGGTTCTTCCATATTATTCATGAGGGAAAAAATGATACCATTAATATAAATCTTTGAATACTCATAACATTTCCTAAAATCTCCACTTGGTCCTTGAAAAAAAATCAACCTGTATTTACCACACACCAGCTCCCTTGTCATACCATAACAGTTCTTAAAAGCATAAATCAGTCATTCAAAACTCCCTCACGCTGAGCAATCAATTGCTTACTGACAAGGCTTAAACCAGCAAAATCTACAGTGAGTCCCCAAAGGTCCGTCTCCTTCTAAAATGTCTTCCAAATAATGAGCATAATCACTTATGCTATTATAAAGTGATAGTGACCTCTATTTTTCAGCAAAGAGAGCAAAACAATACGGCTGAAAGAAGTACACCATAATGTGAAGGAAAAGCCGGGCTGGTCTGACAAGATAACTCATAAGTCTAGGAATGTGAAGGAGAGGCTGGGCTGGTCTAACAAGATAATTCACACATCTAAGTATCGGAATACTGATTTGAGTTCTGCTGGACTAACTTGTAAATCTAAGTTAATTAGTGTTGGTTTGCTGTTCATGTTTTTTTGCTAGCCAGTTGGATTTTCAAAGATACATATCTGGCTTTGGAATGTTGGTTTGCTGCCTCCCTGCCTCCACTTTTGTGATAATGATGCTGCTAAAGCTGTTCCATGCCTATTGGCCGAATGCCCCAAGCTTGTACTTTACCCTATAAAACCTCATGCGCACATCTTGGAGGTGTCAGAGCTTTGGAGCAGACGCCCCTCTGAGCCCGCTGGCGTAATACATCTGAGTGCTCCAACCCTCCAAGAGTGGTGCTTGTTTCTTGGTTGGCCTGTCATTTCCGTAACAATAATAGGTTCTTAAACTTGAGAATAAAACTGGAGAATACTAGAAATATGTTAATGAGGAAAACAGTAGCTAGGCTTGATGGAAGTAACCTCGACTGAAATTATACAGAAGTGTCTTAGGAGGTGGCGAGAAGAGGGAGAGGGAAGGACTGTGTTTTCTTGAATGTATCAGGCCTCCATTAGGCAATTCACACGTGCTCTCCCATTTATTCCTTAGGTCAGCTCTATCCAGTAGGTATTACCAGAATCCCATTGTACTGATGAGGCACAGAGGCTCTCAGAGGTTTAATAACTGTCCAAAGCCACTGGGAATTCAACTAGGATTTAATCTCCACCTATACAAAGTGTCATTCGGTGTCAGAACAGACTCTGCTGTAAACAGTGACCCTATGAATGTCCTTTAAGCACGTGGGCTAGTCTTTTTCTATTCTAATAGCCACCGTGTGCTATCTCACAAGTCTAAATGAATAACATTTGAAAACCCCCTGTCTTTTCTTTGGAAGAAAGGTGGCATATAAATCCCAAGTGTTACTCTGCTCAAACCTTAAAGATTTTATAGCTGCCTGATTACAAATAAACAGTTCCCTTTTCGTTCCTCAGTTCCTCTGCTGAGGTCTAAATCCTTATTCTGCACTTAAAGTATCATTTTATCTACAATACTTTGTAGAGGACCACTGACCTCCAGAAGACCCAAATTCTAGCCCCAGGTCTTTCAAGCATTGACCTGTGCTTACCCATGGGTCACATACTAGAAATACCAGAGGGTCAGTTTCCTAACCTGTCAAATGGGATTTCCTACTGACTCCATCTGCCTCATGAGGAGGAGCAAAGGAGGAAAGTATATATGAAAGTGTTTGGAAATTGAACAAAGAGCCAAATATGAAGTGGCAGGAGGAATACTGTTGCAGGTATAGTGAAGCATGGAGTCCTTTCCTATCAAGGGCTTCTCTCTTCCAAGTGGTTAACCATGTTCAAGGAAAACGGTCTAATCCTGTATCATTTCATTACAGGTTTTATCTTCCTTCTTCCACTTGCTAAGAAGCAAAATTATATTTGCTCAAACACTAATGGCCACATAAATATTTACGAATGAGTGGTAGATGTGTAAAGGGTATAGTAGCCACCCCTCAGACCACCTAAAGAAATTAAAAGCCAAGGCAGACCATCTTATTAGAATAGAATTAAGGAATCTGCTATTTTATACTGTAGAGGTGTTTGCTATTTATGCCACTCTCAGCTATTGTAATTTATTTGAGTATTTTTTTAGTGTTCTGTTTTCTTTTTGTACTTTGGGATATACACTACCCGAGACGTTTAACTTTTAACCTTTACTTTTTATGCTGAGAACTTGTGACATTTAAATCTCAACACTGATGATTAACATCTTTGCTTTATGCCAGAAGCTACAAACTGATAGGCCCCTGCATATAGTGACACCATTCAACAGTCACACACTCCAGCAGTTACTAATTTTCCAACCCAGTACCTGAAGATGACATTTTGATAAATTTGCAAAGGACTTTCTGAACTATTTATTAGTTCAACATGTGAAAAAGTACACCTCCAGTAATGACATTTTGTTCCCAAAATAACTTCATATGCTTTATCCACTTTTTTTATTTTTAAATTGAGCTACTTACAGAATATCTGAAAATAATCACCAATAACTCATAATTAACAAATGGCACTTTTCTATTTCTCATCTCATCACACTCAAAAGCACTGCATTTTTATGTGGAATCCAAAATTATTTTTCCAAAAAGAAAGAACTACCATGATACTTTATAATCCTCCTGTAAATGAATGAGATGATCATCACTTTTTCATCCTTACTCTTAAGTTAAAATGAGACGGAGTTAAATGTTCTCTCTCTCAACATCAAGAAATGCGCCAGCAGTTAAAATAAAAATGAAATGGATGCAGTAAAAGAATACAGCATTCTCTTCACTTTCCATGCCACATCCGAACTGTGGTATTAATGATCATATCAAGGCACCAATCATTTACTAAGCTTTTTCTGCATGCTCAGAGTAATTATGATAGTTTTTCCAACTGCATGAAAATCAAGACCTAGGAGTCAAAGCAATCAGTTTAATAAATCAGCTGATGTTCTGAATTTATCTGCTTTCTCCTTATTTACAGGAAAAATCAACCTAAAGACAGCTCTGAAAAAAATTCATAATCTTCCACCATAATAAAACACTTCTTTAAGTGTATTAAATCTCAGACATGCAGATACATGCATATTCCTGACACAATTTTCATTATATTATAAACAAAATGTTATATTTTACTTTGTTAAAACCTGATATCACTTAACAATTTTAAACTGCTTGATCCACAAGTGCATGCATAAGTAAAGACACGTTACAGACACATTTGCCCAGTATTTGAGTGGTGAGGTTTGCTTTTGATTAGCACCGATGAGAAGAAGCAATCTGCTCTATTACAAAACTGACATTGTATCTATAAAGTAGCTTTGAATTCTAACTCTGTAATCATTACCACAGGCTGGGGAATACCCTAAAGTCAGAAAGAACAATGTGTGCTGAAGTGCGTCCCCTGCCCCCACTCATATGTTGAAGTCCTCAGCCCCAGTACCTTAGCATGTGACCTTAGAACTAGGGTAGTTGCAGATGCATGTAGATAAGAGGAGGTCATACTAGAGCAAGATAGGCCCCTAATCCAATATGATTGGTGTCTTGATAAAAAGAAAGCCATGTGAAGAACAGATACGTACTCAGGGAGAATGATGTAAAAAGACTGGAATTATGCTGACACAAACCAAAGAACTACCAGAAGCTAGATTCTTTTTTACCACCTTCAGAGGGAATGTGGCCTTGCTGACACCTTGATTTCAGACTTCTGAACTCCAGAACTGTGAGAAAATAAATTTCTGTTGTTCTAAGCCACTGAGGTTTTGGAACTTTGCTACAACATCCTCAGGAAACTAATAAAAACAATATATTAAAAGATCGTTCCACCTTGCCCTCTACACACTCCACAAATGTAACGGTTTCCTGAGAGTTCCTACTGTCTTTTTAAGTCCCTTCAAGTCATTCTTCAAATTGCCATCACCCTGTTCTTTTTAAAATTAAAAATGTAATCATTTTGAGAATGCAAACTGGTACAGCCACTATAGAAAACAGTATGGAGGTTCTTCAAAAAAAATAAAATAAAAACAGAACTACCGTATGATCCAGCAATCCCACTTTAGAGTATGTATCCAAAGGAAAAGAAAACAGGATATGGGTGAGATAGCTGCATCCCAACGTTTATCACAGCATCACTCACAGTAGCCAAGAAACAACAAGAAATTTAGGAAACAACGTAAGTGTCCATCAGCAGATGAAAGGATAAGGAAGATGTAACATATAGAGATAAAACAGGGCCATGAGAAGGAAGGAAATCCTGCCATTTTTGACAACATGGATAGACTTTGAGGGCATTACGCTAAGTGAAATAAGCCAGAGAAAGACAGATACTGTAGGTTTTCACTTGTAAGTGGAATCTTGAAAAAAAAAGTCAAACACACAGAAATAGAGAGTAGTAAAGTGGTTGTCAGGGGCTGGTGGTGGGAGAATTAGAGAAAGGTTGGTGAAAAGGTGCAAACTTTCAGCTATAAGTTGAATAAGGTCTGAGGATCCAATGTATAATGTGGTGACTATAGTTGACAACATTGTATTGTATAATTGAAATTGCTTTAGAAAGCAGAAATAAAATGTTCTCACACAAACAAAAAAAGATAAATACATGAAATGATGAAGGAAAAAAAAAGAATGTAATAATTTTCTTCAACTAAACTCAAAATGAAAATAAAATTGTCTCATCCCGAATTTTTAATGAAACAATATAATCATTTACTCTCATGTTTAAAATGACTGTAATGATTTTCCAATGATTATAGGAAATAAATACACATAGCATGCAAACATAGCAATGATTGCTTTAGTAGTTACGATAAACTCCTATGGGCTAGGCACGGGGTTAGCGACAACTATTCTATGCCCCTAGCATCCCTTCAAATTCAGCATTAGTAGTCCCACACTAAAGATTTTTTAAAAATAAGACAGTGAAGAAATCAATTGCCCAGCCACACCACTAAAGAAGGGCCACCCAGACTTTCTTTCCTGAGCGCACACATGTAGTTACTGACCACGTGAAAACTACAATCACTGAGAGTCTTGTCCCGATGTGGTTTCTATTTGGATTGTATTTCAATATTATTGCTTCATTTCACAACACCCCTCCTACTACCTCACCTCCCATCTCACACACCCATTTTAAATTGTATGCCTTTTAATTCAGCTAGGTGTTTCCCTGTTCATTATTTCTGCAAACATCTTTTTTTTTTTTAATTTCTCCTTTGAAAGCTCAACCAAATTGACAACTACCTTCTCATATTGAAGACCTGGCAACTACCACTTCTGTGAAGTCTGGTTATGTTCTCTTTAAGGAAAAAACGATGACCACTGCCTACGTTATGAATTCATGATAATTTGGAAAAATGCCAGTTACAGTATTTAGACAATTACATTACTGTTCACAGGTCTACATCTTCACTCTAGACTGTAAGCTTCTTGAGGAAAGGACATTGAATCTCTAGTACCTACAATAGATGATAAACACACATTTATAGATTACACAAATAAATGAATGAGATATAACATTTTCAGCTTTATTGAGGCAAACCAACAAATATAACTGTAAGATACTTAAAATGCACAATGTGATGATTTGATAAACATCTACATTGTGAAACTTAACACATCCATCACCTCACATTCTGCTTTTTTTCTTTTCAGTGAGAATATAACTTAGTATTAAGTTAGTAAGTTTTCATGGTTCCAAATATTTGCTGTTACAAATATTGCTGCATTATTTGTACTAAATGTAAATCCTCTTTCTCTTTAATGGATCCTCTCTAAATTCAAATAATAAAACATCCCCTGGCCCCGACAGTATAGTTGCTCAATAAATGTGTTAGATAAATGTTGAATCTCAAACATAGTTCCTTGAACATATGGAATGTTATCCACCAGCTAAAGTGAATGGACTAAATCTATATGTATTAATCTTGGTAAATCTAAAAGACAAAATGTTAATGTTGACAGGTAAAAAACAAGTGAAGAAAGTATATTTAGTTATATATGTATGATATGGTTTAGATCAAAATTTGAAGTGGATAATACTTTATAGTATTTATGGTCAAATATAGATGCATGTATATAATTTAAAATGCATGTGATTAATGAACGCCGCCGACTTCTTAGAGAGGGAGGAGGAGCAGAAGGTAAGGAGAAGGAAATGTAGCGATATCTGTCATATTTTATTTCTAAGGAAATATCAAAACAAAAAAAAGGATATGCAAAAGTAAGAGATCGAAAGTTAATGTGCCAACTGCTACCAGTTGATTGAATCAGATTGGGGAATTGTATAGGTATCAGTTTTACTGTTTTCTGAATATTTCATTTTTGAAATATTCCATAATATTCATTTAAAAAGTGTAGCATCAATGAAGAGGGAAAGAAAATAGAAAAATCACCAGTGGACAAATGCCACAGTAGTGACTGTTGCAGGCAAGATTCACTCATGGATTTGAAAACCAGGGGGCAAAAATTAAGGAGAAACAGGAAATGTGTGCATAGTCTCAAAGTAGCTCCTCTGAAACACTTATTCATTACAAGGGGGTGGAAATATAGCAGCTTTACAGTGGAGAAATCCAGGAGACACCACCTTATCCACACGTTCAAGGTGGATAACATCACCAATGATGAAACATGTGGACATTACAAAACCCTCAGTGCTCTGTGTTAAGGACGCGATTCTCGCCAATGCATAAGCTCATTTCAATCATAGGAAAACACCAGACAAACCTAAATTGAGGGGCAGTCTACAAAACAACTAACTGGTATTCTTCAAAAGTGTCAAGAACATAAAAGAAAAAAGAAGACTGGGCAATTGTCATAGAGACTAAAGAGAAATAGCAACTAAATGCATGTGGGAACTTATATAGGATCCTGGAACAGAAAAATGACATTACAGAGAAAACTGGTGAGATTCAGTTACAGTCTGTAGTAGAGATGATACCAATGTAATGTCTTGGTTTTGACAATCATACTATGATTACACTACATGTTACATTAAAAGAAGCTGGCTGAGGGGTGTTGGGAAACCTCTGTATTATTTTTGATATGCTTCTCTAAGTCTAAAGTTCGCTATTTTTTTAAAACATAGGGAAAAAAAGAAGTATGTATACCTATTCATTCCACAAATTTACCTGTAGGAATTTACTCAAGGAAATAATCAGAAAAGCCCACAAAGCTATATGTGTGCATACGTGGTTGTGTGTGCATGTGTGTGTGTATTCCATTACGGCATTACTAAAAAATTAAAATGGAAATAACCTAAATGCCCAACAAATAATTATGTTTCATATAGAAAGCTATAAGCAGCCATGAAAATTATGATATTCCTTGAGATTTACTGGCATGCAGAGATGTTTGCAATCTACTGTCATGTAAAAAAAGCAGAATAAAATGCAACCTAATTATAATGTTAACTGTATATTTTTAAATTTTTGCATTTTAAGTCCAAAAAGTTCTTGTTTCTGAATATGTGTAAAGAAATTGATCTTGAACAATATGCAGATATAATAAAATGGTAATATTTGCTTTTGAAGTGGGTCAAGGTAATGAGTGTTCTGTTTGTTAATATGTATTTTCAATAGTCCTAATGGGGCAAGTAATAACTATGTTATTCTTGGATTTCAAGATGTTTTGGTGATAGATATCTTAAAAAGTAATATTATAAATAAAGCTGTTCCTGTCTGTCATTTTAGTTAGTATTCATGCAAATGTAGGCTTTTTTTTCTTTTTTCTTTTTTTTTTTTTTTGTGGCTGGAACAGTTTTCACCCTCAGGATAGCCAATGAGTCTATGGAATATTCAGAAAGCACTGGGATCATTTTCAAAGAAAGATAGCACCATCAAGACAGTCTCTGTTAGAGAATGATTGATCTGTTAGTCTTATCTCTGTACAGGAGAAAAGATTCTTAAACTCTGACATCCTCTGATTAAAACAGAACTAACAACGTAATTTTCCTTCAAAAACAGTCAATTGTTTTAACACGAATACTTCAGGTATGCTTACAACTCCCTTCATAGTATAACTTTTAACTCTCTCTGCATATACTTCATTTAAAATGATACACATTTTGGTCAGAGCTTATTGTTTGGTCCAGAACTGCATGAGTGTACCTTATTAATAAAGAACTTAACTTTTTAGAAGAGGGTCCTTAGGCAAGTACTTATCTGTGTCAATACAATACGACTGTCTGATGGGGAAAAGGCTTTTATGTAACTCCTGCAATGCTGTGATTTTACTTATCAGGGACTTAAAGTCAAGAGACTTAAAGAGAAGATTTGGAGCTAGAGCTTCCAGCCCAGACAGGATGCTTTCTCCAACTATATTACCATTTGCATCCTCAATCACATGCAGAAGTCTGGTAAAGTATGAATTCACCCGCTAACCACCTGCAGAGATACAAAGGTGAACAGCCAGTCCCTGCCCACCAGGTGTTCATGAGAGGAGGTCAGACATACAAACACAGTACTTGGACAGCACTCCATTATCATATCAACTGGGGCTAGAAACTAATACCAATTCAGAATCCAAAAAACATGAATGATTATAACTTCCTATTATAAAAATAATTTGTCAAAAGGATTTGGCCGCTACTCTTTTAGATCTTCTAATTACAGTTCATTTGTTCCCTTTGCACATTAAGAAATGCAGACACCACATCAGTAACTATAAATGCTTTCCTTTGAAATACATATCTTTTTACTTTTTTCATATTATTCTAGACAAATACC